CAATGCTGCTGTTTCATACATAACTGAGCTGGATGGAATAATGTAAAAGACTGTTCCACCTTGTAGGAGCAAGCTACTATTTGAAAGCTTTGCTATCTAAGATATACCTGTTGTTGCTCTTCTAATAAGTGTCTGGGTGATTTTCTGGAAGAGGGAAATTTTCATGATTATGAAGTGTAAGTGATCCTCCCTATGGAGCTCTTGGATTTTCTTGCTTGTTTTTTCCTCTCAGTGCCCCCTACTTCCCGAGAGTCAGGGAAAAGAAAACGGACTTTTTTTCCCCTCCTCACTTGAGTGCCTGGAGAGCTTCTTTGGAGGACTCACTTTTATTTTTGATGAAGTTTTCAAGGTGTGTCTTTTCAGCTGCCTCTTGCTAACTTTTATTTTTGCTAAGTAATGAAGTACTTAAAAGCAACATTTTTTTTTTCCCTACTGAAAGTTGATCCAGTTCTGTCCATTCTCTGGGAAGGTGTGAAAGGATCATCTGGATGTTCCAAAGTTGTACCTGCTACTGCAGACCGGCTGTTTACTGCTCAAATGCTGATCTGTGCTTTTTTGTTGTTGTTGTTTTTTTATATATATTGTCATATATTGTCATATAAACAATGACAATTGGGTTCTCTGGAGAATGCTTTAAAGCAACAGTTTGTCGAAGCATATTTGTAAAATAAGCATTTTGGTCAGCATTGTTTAAAAACTCCTGCCAAAGAAAAAAAGGTGGGCTGGTTTTGAGATTTTCTGTTTAACCTGCGAACATGGAAAAAATCTTCTTGGAGTCTTGTTGGGAATGAGGTTTTGGGTAGTTGGTTGCTGCTCATTAAATCCAGTGTGTCTCCAAACAGCCACATGTGGGGTTTTGTTTCCTCTCCCAAGATGGTCCTAACTGAACATGTTCTGAGCTTCCCTAGTTGCAATTCTCTGAACATAGAGGAGAAATTATTAACGGCTACGTGGTAGCAACGCCCTCACCGCTCTGCCTAACACTGAAAAATGAGCACCTTGTTAAACTGCAAGGCCCTGTCCTGTCCAGGGATCCAAAACCAAAGTAACTGTATCTGTTCTGCACACGTCTGCTACCAACAATGACTCCGGGTTAGCTTTGCCTCTCCTTAGGGGAGAGGTGTGTGTGTAAATGTGTTTTTGCAATGCTGGAGGAATGCAGCATAGCTCTTGAGGAGCGAGCAGCGCTGCCTCAGCCCTCAGCCATGCTGCTGTTCACTGCACGCTGCGAGAGGCTCTGCTGTCACGTCCGCGCAGCCATCCCAGGCACGCTGCTGTGCTCCAGGAGCTTCTTTCAGCTAATGTGCATTTCCCAAAGCTGTCAGGGACAGGACAGTTCCTGGGGACACTGCAAACACCCTCAGCTACAATGGGCAGGATGCGGAGCCCGTGCAAGGTGTGGTGAGGGGACGGGTGCCCCTGAGGCAGGGGAACTGCTGTGTGCATGCACTGCATGTAGGTAAAAAGGCTCGGTGGCAAAACGCCCCCCGAGAAAGATACAGAGGATAAATAGGGATATTAAGCTACCAGGGCCAGGTGCCTTTCAGCCACTGCTGTATTCATGTGCAGAAAGTGCCAGGGGTCAAGCATGGTCTTTGGGCTTAAAAGAACACAATCCATAGGCTTCAAGTGCTTCTGCCACTAAGATGTAGCGTCAAAGCCATTCTGTGCCTTTCCCCTAGCATTTTCATAGGGACAGGGCACACACAGACTCACTTGTATGCATTTACACTATGTAAAGTTTATATATGACCTACTGTCACCAGACCTAAAGCTGAACTTGCTCATCTTTGTAGAAAAAAAAAAAATACCTTTTTGTCACGGAGCATTTCTTTTCCGGTGATGCGTGTGGGGAACATTACTGAGTTGAGCAGAAGAGGAGCTGAGCATTGGAGCGGGGGGTGAAACCTTCAGTGTTTAGAAGAAGCACCAATTATGCACAGACTCTTTTATTTGAAATATAACTTGAGACGTGTTAAATCTTGTGCTGGGGCTTCTTTGTCCCTTCCTGAGGATGTGATACAATGAATGCTACAGCTGGCTGAGTGTTGCTGCAGCCGTGCTCCCTGCTTGTACAGGGACCAGTGCAAATACCCATGTTCTCCTTTTCACAGAATCACAGATGGTTGAGGTTGGAAAGGACCTCTAGATATCACCTAGTCCAACTCCCCTGCTCCAGCAGGGACACTCAGAGTACGGGGCACAGGGTGGCATCCAGGCAGGTTTGGAAGATCTCCGGAGAAGGAAACTCCACAACCTCTCTGGGCAGCCTGTTCCAGGGCTCTGTCATCTTCACAGGAAAGAAGTTCTTCCTCACATGGAGATGGAACTGCCTGTGTTTCAGTTTGTACCCATTACCCCTTA